ACTTTTGTTACGCACTGTAGTGGGAAAATGGCGACAACGAAGTGGAACGGTCAAAAACCTGCGAAAAAAAGCCTTCGTTTTCATGACTCAAAAAGAATTTTTGGACGAGCTCCCTGTTGACATGGTGGTAATAGGCGGTATGGTAGCTGCACTTATACTTTGCGCACGCTTGGCCGTGTCAGGCAGTATGAGTGTGTCACGCCGTCAAAGCCGTTCTCTGCCTTCTTGTTGAAGCGCGCATGCGACAAAAAGTGGTAGAAAACGAGTAATACGAACGATATGATACAGTCATATCATTGCTCGCTTTAACAACTGGTGGAGAACGGGTTTGGCACCGCGCCAAACTCATCCCGCCTGACACGCCCAACCGTCCGCAGCGAACTACACTATATATGTACTCATATATCCGTGCAGCACCCTCGGCTGCTTCATATCAATCCCTTCGCTTCATATTTTACTTCGCCATCAAGTACGGTCGTCCATTTGTGAGCGGATGGGCGCGGTGGCGTTCGGGTCAGTATGTCGCAGCTTGATAGGGCGCTATGAGGGTACCTTCCTTCGAAAAGGCGTTACGCAGCCCTTGCTCAGATAAACGAAATCCGGCTCTGAAAGGCGTATTAGTCCCACTCATCTTAAGGATTTGGTATCATTCGCGGGGCATACCTGCGCTTACGACTCCCGCCGCCTCCTCATTTGCGGTCAGTTACGACGTGATTACCACAAAGCCCTGGATGGTCTGTCGAGAAAATACAAAGATGATCTGATTCCTTCGCTGTATAGCAATGAAAACAAAATGATAGAAGTGGACACACTAATGGAGGCGGAGCTAGCTTATCGTCACTAAGCCGTGGCGCATTTACCAAGCACTTTCAATTCTTAAAAGTAATACATCCTGTATAAGCGCCGACCACTCCACTTCGTGCAGCGAAGGGCTCCGCATGTCAGAAATCGGGGGCGCTCTCTTTGGAGCCGATTTTTCAAACAGTTTTCTAGAGCTTCCCTTTCTCTAACAGACGATTACCTCCGCGTTCCTGCCAGCATTTGTTGTGATTGGATGAAAAAAAAAGAACGTTAAAAACACATGCGCAAATGTACCATTACTTTCTTTTCAACCTAAGTGCATTTCGAAAAAAGTGTGGCTGCAGTAAGTATTTGATTAATCATGAAGTTGAACTAATAAGTATTGAATCAGCAGTAAATTGAATTATTGCCTTTTATTTCCGTGAGAAATAATTTTCTTGGGAAAGAAACAGCATGTTGAAATATGTGATGGATAGTGATAATTTTCATTTCCGCTTTCCATTTCGTTCTTGTGCTGCACTTGATTGGCTTCGTGGAACAATTAGTTTTATCCTGATTGACAGTCAGAGGGGAAAGAGCAATGGACAAGCTCGTACATCTCTGTGGGAGTTCGGGAAAGTAGTGAATTTTCATTTTTTCGCCGGGGTGCTGGCAGTGTGAAGCAATGGTGGTCCATTCTGGAGATCTTTAGGACCGTAGAGATTTTTTGAGAAAAATTTGAGGCACTCTGAACCCTGTCCTCTTTGAGTTTTCGTGTTTTTCCGATAGACTACTGCTTCGCTGGCGCGTGGTTAGTCTTTGGTCCTCAGGAACAATTTTGAAAGTGGGACAAAGTACGAAATAGTTCCGCCCAACTGCTCGATAGACTGTTTTCCGGAGAAGAACCAGTTCGAATTGCTTTTCAGGGAGGGGAGGGCTCTATTAAGCCTATGTACCTACATCAGTTATCGCAGGAGCACTGACCTCAGCAAATGCGTAGTGGCCCTGGAATTGACCTGACTGGAAAAATCTGAAGACAGGTATCCCTGTTACTTGATGGGTGGAGCTCGGTCATAATTCAAGTGGTCGTCCCGTCTCTGGGTCTTCCCTATTTCCGTGGCTGGATGGTGAACGACGAAAGCGCTCCGAACGTCATTTGCTGTGAGAAGGCCCCACGTATAATTACTTCATCCATCTGGAGACTAGATATGCCAGCAGTCATTCATTTGAACACTGCTGTGACTCTCTACGTTCCTTCTATTTGGGTCCGTTCTCTGTCGCCTTCCTGGTCTTACTGTTCTCTCATCCTTTGCCTCTGGTTAAGATACTTTGCTTCGAATTCTTTAGGGCTCTATCTGGGGCGCCTCTGATTGTTGGTGTTCACTTCTTCCTTCACTATTGATTTAGTTAGCTATTACTCATTCATATTTGGCCCCTGAGCCCACGAACTGAAACCGTGGAATGTGTCTTTAAGTCCACTCCAAAGTCTAAGTCCCCATTTCATGAGAGAAGAGTATGAGATCGAAGGCGACGTGCAAGATGTCAAAACGTGAACTCAATAAAGCCGCACTTTATTGTGAGGCTAAAAATGTAATCTTATCGACATTTTTCACGTAATAGGAAAGTCGACCACGTCCCATTCCTAAAAACTTTTTTTTCAAAATTTCTTTTTTTTCACAAAAAATTTCAAAGAAGTCGATGTTAAATTTGCAGTTCTAGATTTCTCCAAAGAGAATCTTTCAGCTGAACCTATCTGGATCAGCAACACCTCCGTCACCACCGGCAGTGTCTGTGTCAGCCAGAGCGTCAGCGTCAACCGATGGAGGCATGCCAACGTGTGAGTGCAGTTCTGACTCCGTTCGATGTCTAATTGAATAAAAAACGGTGAAATTGACAAGGTACCTCAGAAGGCCTTCAGATAGGACACGTCTAACTCTGGGGGCTTCTTTGCAAAAAACGAGCTCCCCTGAAATTCCTCCGTACCACCCCTTCCTTCCGAATCTCCCTTACTAGCTACTAGCTTCCTAAATTTTCCGGTGATTTCACTTCCATACCACTTTCCCGAAGTTTTTTTTAGGAAATTTCCGTTTCCGCCAAAAAAAGCCGTCAAGGGAAGGAGTGTAAATACGCTGCTGAAACAGGAAAACCAAGAGAGCTACGCTACAGAAAACGTTTCACTCCGACACAAGCATGACCCCCCCCCTCTCTCCACCGGGGCAGCCATATGAGAGTCATTTCCCTCGCTGGGGATCCCCAACGTACGTACGACGTGCGGTTTCAGCTTGGTAGCGAGTTATGTTTTCGAGGCTAAGTTGTTGAAAAGAATCAAAAAATTCTGTACTGTTTCTACTCCACCAAGCCGTATGGCAAGCGTCCGCCTAAACGGGAGTTTTTACTTTTACTTATGAAGATTCTTAGCGCAACTAACCTTGGGAAGGCATTTGAAGGACCCATTGTGCAAAACTGAGATTACCTCAATGAGGATGGAATTATTATACTTAACTCACCCAACCAGAAGCTCCTTCCCATTAGGTCCAGGCAAAAGTGCTTGTCTCTGTCGAGGTAATCCCAGTTTTGCTCAAGGAGTTCGTTGAATGCTCCCCTCCTATGGTTATTAGGTGTTTTTTTACAATTCACTTTTGAAAAAGCGATGACGTTAGCGATTCTTCTAGCCGTTTCGGCCGCTTTGTCACGAATATTTTGCGTCCCGCCAGTTTTTGAATTTTTGAATTGAAATGGGAGTTTTTGTTCGTCCGTGCACCACATTTGGATGGCCATCCTGATTGCTCAATTATATATGGCTAGCTAATAGCAGTCGAAATCGCTCTTATAGCCTGCCCACGTTGAATGGCATTCACTGCGCTTCAAATATCCCTCCAGATGAGTCCGTGACCTGCTGTTCGTTGAAACAATTTGCTTTCCGACGTAATCTTTGATAATAATGTAACTTTCAGCACCCTTGTTTTCACCTAGTCGTGCCAATGTTCGTCCTCATTTGTCCAGAATGTATCGTCCTGGAATGCGTAGCCTAGATTCTGGTTTAGACCTCAGCTCACCCACCATTGGACATCATGCTCTATTCATCAAGGAGGTATTTATATTTATCTCTCTCACTTTTTCAACCACATTTATACAATTTAAAAAAATGCTGAAGTGCTGTGCTTGGATCTGTCGGAACCGGGTCGGAGGAGTGCCATCGTGGTGTTTTCTTTTCGATTTCCAGAGACTTTTCAGGATTTTACGCCAGGATCAGTTTTTGGACTCACCATCAGTCGAATCTCTTGCCTTCTCAGTCTGGACATTTGTTTTCCACGAACTGTTCTTTTTTGAAGTTCTAGAAGCGTACCAGTGCGTAGTTTTTCTTACAACTTGAAGGG